TTGGCTGCATAATAAAAGGGGAGGTGTGGGAGGTGCTGGTTGCCAAAGGCAACTGTTCGGGTAAGAATCAAGTTGTGATGAACTGTGTTTGTTTTCCTCAGATCTGTGAGTAATAAAAGGGGTTTGGGTTTGTCCTGCGGTTTCTGCCTGCTTGATTTGAAGAGGGGTTTTCTCCTTGTGAACTTAACAAGGAGCTCAAGTAGGCTGGGACAGAACACACAGTCACTAAACGAATGACTGTAAGTTGAGGACTATCTGCACTGCACAGTCCTGGGGAAGGGTGGGAATTAAAATGGGAGCTTCAGCCCTATTTTACGGCCCCTTTCTCTTCTTTCCTGAAGGAGCAGTAGCGACAGGTGAAGATCCCACCAGTGTGGCCATTGCGAGCATCCAGTCGGCAGCCACCTTTCCGGATCCCAACATCAAATATGTCTTCCGAGCAGAGAATGGAGGTGCTCAGGTAAGGTGCTGTGAGCAGCTGCCAGAAGGTCTCCTTGTTTGCCACTCAGCAAGGATCCAGACCAGAGTTTCTCAAGCTGAACAGCTTTAAGATGGGTAGAATTCTGGGAGTTGAAGTCCACCCATCTTAAACTTGCTGAGGTCGAGAAACACTGGTCTAAATAGCATCTCTGTGCTGCTGGCTCCCTGTGCTAACATATTCTTCTAAAACAGAATTTGGTTTGCACAAAGGGACTTTCTCGCTTATTTGCATCGTTGCTGCCTGCAAATATGGATTTAACATTTGTAAGCATTAGCTGGCCTTGGGGTTCTCTAAAAAAAAAAAAATCAGAAAAAAAGTCATTTCCAGGGTCTCTGCTTGCTATTTGGTATTTATTTCCGAAACGGATTGCAGGTCCTTGATTGTGTCAATTGCAAACCTGCTTGTAATTTTTCTATCTGTTCAAGATGACATGGATGTGATGATTCTGACTTTGTATCTTTTTTAAAGGGGAAAAAACAAATTGTAGTCCTTATGACCACAGTTGAGCCCAAAATTTCTGTTCCTAAGTGGGACAGTTGTTAAATGGCTTTTGCCCCATGTTACGACCTTTCTTGCGACAGTTGTTAAGTGAATCACTGCAGCTGTTATGTTAATAACATGGTTATTAAGTGAATCTAGCTTCCTCATTTGAAATCCAAGTTGGGTGACACCAGGAGACGGTGAGTTCTAGTCACACCTCAGGCATGAAAGCTGGCTGGGTGACTTTGGCCCAATCACTAGGGGACAGTGAATTCTAGTTCCACCTTAGACATGAAACCTGATTGGGTGACTTTGGGCCAATCACCAGGAGATGGTGAGTTCTAGTCCCGCCTTAGGTACAAAAGCCAGCTGGGTGATCTTGTGCCAGTCTGTCTCTCTCTCAGTCCAACCCACCTCACAGGGTTGTTGTGGAGAAAATAGGAGGAAAGTGTGTTGGATATGTTTGTAGCTTTGAGGTTTTTATAAAAATAATAAAGGCAGGATACAAATAAAAAATATCAAAGTTCCCCATTCTTAGTTTACCACGTTCACCACCCCGAATTGAATCTTCTTTTTGCTCTTTCCTCCAGCTGATGTACAGAGTCATACAGGTGGCCGAGGGCCAGCTGGATGGCCAGACGGAGGGCAGTGGGGCCATCAGCGGCTACCCTGCGACGCAGTCCATGACCCAGGTAGGCCATTTGGAGGATAGGAAGGTGGGTCCTCCTGGGAAAGGGAAAGCAGCCCTGTTGTTGGGCTGAATCGCCTGACTGCAGCTGGGTTGCTGCCAGGAAGGAGAGGAGAATTCTGGGAGTTGAAGTCCTTACCTCTTCAGGTGGCCAAGGTCCTAGAGCATGTTCCCTACTTGACTCTAGATCAGGAGTCTCCAAATTGGCAACTTTAAGACTTGTGGCTAGCTGGGGAACTCTGGGAGTTGAAGTCCACAAATCTTGAAGTCACTCTCTGGAGCTTCTCCCCTAGGCTGTCATCCAAGGAGCATTCACAAGCGAAGATGCAGTGGACTCCGAAGCCACGGCCACTGAGACCCACTACACTTATTACCCTGCCACCGCAGTGGCCGACACCAGCACTTCTGCCGGAGCAGGGACGACTGCGGTGGTCACCACCCAGAACTCAGACGCCCTTCTGGGACAAGCCACGCCCACCGGCACAGGTCAGTTGGGCAGGACCATCCAGATGGAGGCCGGGCCCAGATTTATCCTTCCACTCTGCTATAATTCTGTCACTCTCCCCACTCCTCCAATCTATTGATTTGATTAATTTGTATTCCATTGATAAATGCTGCCTTTTGACTTATAAACCCCTTTTGAAAGCTAAAGGAAGTGATAATTCAGTAGGCCTAGACAGAGTTTCCCAACCTTGGCAACTTTCAGACAGGTGCGCTTCAATTTCCAAAATTGAATTGACTGGGGAATTCTGGGAATTGAAGTCCACAAGTCATAAAAGCCATCGTTCTCCACCTGTGGCCTGGAGCATTCATGCACATCCCAGTAACCAAGTTATGTTTCCAGTTTATATTTGTAGCAAATCTTTCATTAAGTATGTTTGCTGCCTTGAGTTACTTATAAAGTAGTACAAATAGTCCTTACCTTATGACCACAGTTGAGCCCATAATTTTTGTTGTCAAGCAAGACAGTTGCTAAGTGAGTTTTGTACTTTTTTATGAGCTTTCATGTGAATCACTGCAGTAAAGCGAATCACTGCAGTTGTTAAGTTAGTAACACAGTTGTTAAGTGAATCTGGCTTCCCCATTGACGTCATTAGAAGGCCGCAGAAGGGGATCACGTGGCCCCGGGACACTGTGACTGTCATAAATACAAACCAGTTATCAAGTATCCAGATTTTGATCATGTGATCGTGAGGGATGCTGCAATGGTCTTAAGTGTGAAAAAGATCATAAGTCACTAAAATACATTTTAAAGTTTATATATCTGTTGGCTTGATGTAATACAAAAAAAGTCTTAGTCTTAATCACTATAAAAAAGGCATGCACGGCACTCATTCAGGGGAAATCTAACCATTCTTTTAGCATCTTGTAAAAATCACAGTAATTTGTTTTATAGGTAGTCCTCGACTTATGACCACAACTGAGCCCAAAATTTATGTTGTTAAGTGAGACATTTGTTAAATGAGTTTTGCACTTTATTACGACCTTTCATGCCAAAGGTGTTTAGTGAATCACTGCAGTTGTTAAATTAGTAACACAGTTGTTAAGTGAATGTGGCTTCCCACGTTGTTTTTGCTTATCAGAAAGTTGCAAAAGGGGATCACATGAGCCCAGGACATTGTGACCGTCATAAATGTGAGTCAGTGGTCAAGCATCCAAATGTAAATCGTGGGGATGCTGCAACGGTCACAAGTGCAAAAAGTTATCATGAGTCACTTTATTCAGTGCCATTGTAACTTCGAAAAGTCACTAAACAAACTGCTGTAAGTTGAGGACTGCCTGAATTGTGGCCTGAAATGGTATGGGTTTCCCCCATTGACTTTGCTGGTCAGAAGTTCGCAAAAGGGGATTGCATGACCCCAGGACACTGCAACCGTCATAAGTACATGCCAGTTGCCAAGCATCTGAATTTTGATCACTTGACCGTGGGGACGTTAACAACAGAACCGCCTAGATGGTTCCGTCCCAGGCGACTGATGGACCCTGAGAGGTTCCTGATGGAGCTTGGGCCATATCCGGAGGATCTAGTCCACGACTCGGCGGAAAATCAGGCGGCGGCCTGGGAGACAACTGCCGCCGCAGCATTGGACCGAGTCGTGCCCTTGCGGCCTCTGACCCGACGTGGATCTCGACCATCTC